CCATATTAAACAAATACATCCTAAGGTTACCCGGGTCCACGTTTTGGGGCCACGCCCCCTTTATATATCAAAATATTTTTTACCCTGTGACCATCCCTGGAAGATATCCAGTGCGTGTGTAAAATTTGGTTACGATCGGCTTATTCGTTTAGGAGCCAAGTGTGTCTATAGGTACATACATAATTTGAATTTTATATATATAGATTACCTCCAGTATTAAAGCAAAGATTCATTGCAGCATTCATGGCAATGAAATGGCCGAAGAGCTAGCCATTAACGGGGCCGCTCTGGGTCCCACTAGCCATTCGGATTTCCTATCTTACGATGGCTACCAGTTGATGGAAAGACATACATACATACATATACATATATATGTAATGTTGAAATTCTCCCAGTTCAACCAACCAACCAATTAGAGGTTTCTTTACGTTTCTCCTCTTAACCTTAAAACCGCGATTCATTGCTCTGATGAAACGCACAAAATCACACATACATACATAGCTATTGGCTAAATCCTGTTACGCCAGAAACCCAAAAGGCATGTGGGGTGTATCCGTTTTGCCAGCTCATTTAGAGTATATCTACATGTAGAATTATCTAGGGAGTATTTTGGTAGAATACTGGAACTTTAAATTAAATTAACAACCAAACGAAAGATTCTTAATAAACCATTATTTTGAACATTTGTTTAAAAATTAAATTTAATTAATTTATATGAATTATTACAATATGGGTATCAACCGAAATGGTTTTCACAAACGCCATATTTCCAAACTACATATAGGATGGTTGCCACCTATTTAAAAAAAAAACAAATATTTATTTGGATTACGGGAATTGGGATATGTATCAAAATTTAAGAGTTAGACGAAAGAGGTTTAATACGGTTGTAGTTGAAAACATTTTTAAGAGGGTTGCCACGTGTTTGAAAACTCCAATTTAATTAAATTATACACAAGTTAAAGTGTGTATGAGTGTTTGGACGCCTTTAGTTCGAACATGTAGAATTGTTTGAAGTGTTTGAAGAGGGTTGCCACCTGTTTTAAAACCAAATTCAAACAAAATTATTTAATAAGTTAAATGAATTATTTCGATATGGGTATCAATCGAAATGCCCTTAAAAAGGCTGTATTTCTTACCTAAACTTAGCAGGGTTGCCAACCGTTTTGAAAATCATATTCAACTTCAATTATGGGAATAAGGCAATTAAAATATGTACATATCTACATATCGTCACCTGAAATGCAAAAAGGCGTGATAAACATCGTCACTGAAATCGACAAAGTTGTGACCAATAATCTTTTTCAATAATCAGATGAATAAATTTTTGATTTTTTTTTTTGAATTTTGAATTTTTTATAAGTTACGACATTTTGAATTTCAGATAACGATATTTACGTATCACACTATGGGTGTTATATGGAAGAGGCTTAATAGGGTTTTTAAAAGGCATCATTTCTAAACTACATGTATGAGGGTTGTCACCTGTGTAAAAAGTCAAATTAGGATTGAAGAATTTTTTGGTTGAAAGTATTTTCATGGGGTTTACAAAATTTACAAAACTTCCTACATATGTTTTGGCTGAGTTTGAGCATGCTGAGTTTTATTGAAAATTGAATCACGCAGAAATGTCATACACTAGGGAAAGCGGGAGAGAGCAATCTACATACATAATTATCATACATACTATGAGTGTGTTTATTATGTATGTGTATGTATACATACTGCAGTATTCGGTAACATCTGTAAACAGCTTAAATAACATTACAACACTAACATCAAAGTAAAATTTACCCTATCTAAACGGGTAAAGGTGTTTCACATCCAATCATCAATAACTTACGGCTCAGCGAATCAAAGATTGCTGTTCAATTATCAAGTTGCCGTCAAAAATAACTTAATTGCATGTATTTCGCAATGAAAATCCTGCGCAATTTAACTCAAAAGCTTCTTCCATGTCAATTTCTTTACCCAGTCGTGCTCACTCAACTGTAAAAACATTGCACATTGCAATATCATTAGCAGCTAATTGTATGCCAAACAAAACTTTCTTTTTACAACTATGCAATGCTACTGAAATAAATACTACATTTAATTTAGAGGCAGGTGAGGACGTTGAAGTCTTTGGCTGTGACAACAGGTTGATGGAATAAATTTGCTACATTAAAATTAAATTACTACATTAAAATTAAATTTCCTTGTGTAAGCATAAAAAACACATCTTTTTTTATTGTAGATCTTTAACCCTTTCCCTGCATTTGTGCAATATATTGTACATTTAATTTTTTCGGTTTTTGCCTTTTTTTATTTTGCCTTTCTTGCGATTTCTAGTGTTTTTTCTCGTCATTTCGCTATTTTATTTGGTCTTTTATTGTTTTTTATGTTCTAAAAATCCGTACCCTGTTTATAATAAAAGTCTAAAACTTAGGAGCAATTACATTATAAGAAAAATAATAACAAGTTGTGGTTCTGATATTTAAGACCCCTTGAAAAGATCGGCCTTCCTCCATCTCGAAGGGCCTGGTACTTATGTATGTATTTGCGACTGCCTTTTCAAATGTTTGAATGTATCAGAAACGGAGTACGATTCATAACCGTGATTATTTGTATATAGTAGCTAACTTTCTAAGGACTTGTCTGCCTTATATCGCCATTTTTTATGCGGTTTTACAGCATTCTAGTGACTTTATAGCTGCTTATACATATGTCGAAGTAGTTGGTTACTGATTAGGAGAAGATTCGATAAGCCAAAGCG